GTAGTGCATTATTAACGGACTGTAATCATGAATCCATTATAGATGAGATTTGTTAGATTTATTTTCTTTCTAACCATCCAGTATCTCCGATAGCAAGTAATTGGGTTCTCTTTCATCACCTGTGTGCTAATGGATAGGAGAATGCATATCTATATGTTTGGTTTCAATTTTCTGGAATCAATTTTTTAGAAATTGATTTTTTTATTTTTCACATTTTTTTATTTTTAGTGAATGTTTTAAAAATTTTAAGCAATTTTTTTACTTTTTTAGATGGACCTTACTTAGATGTATCTAAAAAGTAAAATATTTGTAAAAACATATTTTAAAAAAAGTAATAAATACACAAGAATACGTAAAATATACTAAATTCTCATTATTATTTTTTTTTTGTATTTTTGGTATTTAGTGAATTTTTTAAAGATTTTTTTCACAAATATTATACTTTTTAAGTGTATTTATGTTAGGTGTATTTAAACATTGAAAAAATTGCTTAGAATATTAAAAAAAATTAGTAAAAATAAAAAAACATGAAAAATAAAAAATTTAATTTTCTAAAAAGTGAATCATGAAAATCCAAACCAAACACGCTTATCAGTCCTAATGTAATAATTACCGAAACTATTGACATATATGGATTGTGATAACATCTCAATGTGTTTTTATAGATATTTATATTGGCAGGTTTTATGAATGTTTTTATGTATATTTGTACACTTCATATTTTTATGGATGCTTGATATTTTAAGAGAAGTGAATCCATAAATGTGCGGCAACAGATGGCTAGAAAAATCTAGTTTATTCGGCAACATGACACCAGAATAATCCAAATTGTTTGACAATGTATGACTGAATAGAACCATCATAAATTTAGGAGGGAAAATGATGTTTTAATGAAAGTGAATCTGTAAACGTGCGACAACAGATGGCTAGACAAATATAATTTGTTTGGTAACATGACCCTGGAATAATTCAAAAGGAATAGGTGTAATGAAAAAAATGTGTAAGAGTATAAAAAGGGTTTAATTTAGGGTCAATTTTGATATTATAAGGGTGTAATGAGGATTTTAGTTTTTTTTAATGGTGTAATGAGAAAATAAACGTAGAGAGGTAAAATTTTGGTGTAGGTAAAATTTCCCAAAAAAATATATCGGTGGTGCTATATACATCAAATAGTGTACTAACTAGTGTGGTAACAGTAGTTATGATATTATTATTAACTCCACTCATTATACAAATTACAAATATTAAAAACATCTTAATTTATGTCACATCGTCAACTGGTATACTAATTAGTACATAGGGATACAATTTGAATCCCGCCCGACGGGGACCCAACCCCCCGACCCCAATTAGAACAGTTTTTTCCCGAAAATACTCCCGACAGGTCGATGGTGGTATTTGAAAATAAATCCCCGATAATTTTCGGGCCGGGGATTGTAATACGTTTCCCGACCTCGGCCCGTCCCCATCCCCGTTTCCCCGAACTGAAATTACCATAACACTGCTTTATCCATTCATATATATAAACCCCCCTCTATTATACCCCTCTGATATGATTTGACTCTCTCTCTTCCCTCTAGTCTCTTTCTCACACTCTCTCTTCTTTTCGCAGTTGGCGTCGTCTTCTCCTTCGAGGCAGTACGTTGCAACGTCGTCTCCTCCTCCTCTGTCGCTTTCTCCTCACCATCGTCGCCTCCTCTGCCTCCTCCGGCAGATTTGAGCAGATCCTGTAGCGCTTTCTTTCTCTTTCTCTCAATTTCTTTATGTGTGTGTGTTTATTGCCATTGATGATGTTGTTGTTGATGATGTTGATGTTGATGTTGATGAAAATGAAGTTGATGTTGATGAAAATGAAATAGGGGATTGGGAGAGAAACTAAACACATACAGAGAGAGAGAGGGAGAGAGAGAGAGAGAGCTACGGGGATTTTTCGGGGTCGGGGAAATCCAATCCCCGTTAGGGGGCGGGAACGGGGTCGGGGACAGGGAAATGTTTACAATCGTGGATCATAATGGGTTCCCCGTTGGGGATCGAGGGCGGGGACGAAAAATTTTGTACCTTCGGGGATCGGGAACGGAGAGTATGATTCCCAGCCCCGCCCCGCCACGCCTCGCCTCGTTGCCATTTTTATTAGTACACTAATTAGTGCATATAGTATTATTCAAAAAATATTGAATCTTAATAGTTTTAAAAGCTTTTACTATTTTTTATATAAGTAGGAGTAATTGTACTAATTTAATGTCTTTATTAACAAAATCCTTTAAAAAATTCTGGCATAATTTCCAAAACTCTGCCCTTATTCAATGCTTCATCATCATAAAAAATGCAATATGATGCACACAGAGTGTGTGCCACCTCATAGTTCACATTAAGAGGTGGTTTGAGATGTTCTAAATAAGTGTACTTTTTAACTTTTTATGAAATATGGGTTGTGTATTGGTTGGGTTTGAAGTGATGTGGTAGGTGATGTGATTTAAATAAGATGATATGATTTAAATAGGATAGTGACTTTTTGAATATATGCCAAACAAGACCTAAAATTTCAAAGAGGGTAATGTTAGACACCCTAACAGTTCAACTAAAATTTTTATTAAATGTCTTATATGGGTGTAGGACCCACACCACGTGGGTTTCATGTGGGTCCCACACTCATATGAGACATTTTAGTAGAAATTTTGATAGAACTTTTGAAATCTCTAACATTTTTTGTTTAAAAAAGAATTGAAATAAATTATGAAAATTAAAACTTAAACAAGGGAATATATTTTTGAAAAATAAGTCAGAAGTTTGAAATTATGAAGTTTGCTTGCAAAATGATATATCATAAATCGTCAGAAAATCAAAACAAAAGAGGCATGGTATGAAAAAACTTGTGAAATTTGGAGAGGCAGTCCACGCAGGTTTTAATACAACTCAAAATACTCACAGGGGTCAGATTCACAATATACATTGTCGGAGTTGCCAGTATAGAAGCAAAGGGAGAAAATGGAGGTAAAAAAACATATCATAGATTTTGTATATTAGGAGGGAGAGTCTGTTTATATATGATTTTTTAAGCATATTGTAATTTCTGGTTCTTGTTTAAATCTTTTAAATTTAAACAGACACTTATTCAATACAAAATAATGTTCATTGATTTGAAGCAAACACCATTTGGTCTAATTGAAATTGTAAATTCAAATTTTGAATTTCAATATATTTGAAACTAAAGAATTGTTTATAATTTTTATTTTTGTAAATAATTATATAATTTATGTATTTACAGTTATAGATACATAAATTTTAGAAAATCACCTTTAACTCAATATTAGTAAAAATTTAATGTCAAAGATTTGTTAGATTCTCCATCATCCAATTTATTCTTTGGGGAATTATAGCACAATAAGATGAAGAAAAAAAAATTACAAAATCGTATGTGGAGTGCAATTGATTTTTTGATGAGGTGCAAGTAAAAAAATGCTTGCACCCCTCCATATTTATGTAAAAAAAAATCTCATCGCACTGGATGTAATTTTCCCATTATTCTTCCTATTTTTGTTTCTATTTCTTTTTAGTGTTCCCACAAATTATCTGTCAGTATTATTACCAAGATATTATATTGTTTTGTGGTGTTGCTGCATCATTGACAATTATTATGCGGTATGTGACATATTGTGATTTGAGTGGACTCCTTGTAGAAAATCTAATTCTTCTTCTTATTGATTTCAGAGCAAAGTGTGAATGGTTTTCTTTTGAGCTGTGAGTGAAATCATTCAATGTGTTTGATTTTAATTTTTAACTTTTTGTTTTTAATAAATATTTTTAAAATTTAAAATAATATTTTTAAAAATTTTTTTTAGATGCACCTTACTTAAATATATATAAATAGTAAAATATTTATAAAAAATTAATAAATACACAAAATATAAAAAATGTACTGAATTTTCGTATTTTTTTAATAAATTTTTTGTATTTAGTGAATTTTTTGAATTTTTTTTTTACAAATATTATACTTTTTAAGTATATTTATGTTAGGTGTGTCTTAAAATTAAAAAAATTACTTAAAATATTAAAAAATCAGTGAAAATAAAAAAAAAAGAAGAAAGAAAAAGTAAAATTTTCTAGAAAATGAATTTTCTAGAAAATGAATTTTCTAGAATTTTTTTAAGTTTCATTTCTTTTAAGTGGGACCAAAAGCAAGTAGTCATTCATAACTGTCGTGTTTTGTTGTTGAATGTAACTGTTTGAGGCTTCTAAAATCAATGTTGCTTCTGTTAGGAGGGAAGGGTATTTTGGAAATGAAAAAAAGAGGACTTTTAGGAAGTGAGTTATAATCTCTCACAAAAAATTTATAATCAGTTTTTAATAAAAAAATTGATTATAACCATCTTAAAATTTACATTTTTTTAAATAGTAAGGACAAAGATAGAGATAGAGAGTGGAGGAGATGGTTTTTTTCAAGCTTTGCATGCTAATTTCTACTTTTAAATCAACTATTCTAATGAGTAATTTTATAATTTTGCCTTACTTATCCTCTTTCTTTTTTTTTTTTTTAAAAGAAGGTGGGACTTACTTATCCTTATACTCAACTATGAGAAAAGTTAGGGATCATGAAAAAATTTTCATGAAAATAATCATGAAAGATTTATGACTCTTGGATTACCTTGATTAGTGTGTGGTACTTTATTTTAAGTGTAATCCAAGGGTCATAAATCTTTCATGATCATTTTCATGAAATTTTTTTCATGATACCTAGCATTGCCCCTCAACTATATATGTCAATGCTTTCCAAAATATATTTTTATTAAAATTAGATTAGATCAAATACAATGAGGTCAAAAAATTTTGCCATTGCTTTCATGTTCATCAGAATTAGAGGACCGACTAGATTATCCGATAGGATTGGACCCGGATATTCCCAAACTAACCCGATCCGATGCATTTTACAGTCCGGCTTCAACCCGAACCGGCATGAGAATCGAACCGGACTCTGCTTATTGCCCTAACTTAAGACCAAATAACGACTATTGCTAGGGCTTGAAAATTTCACTTGAATCGTTCTCTCATGTAAACTCCATCTCTCCTTTCTCTCAATTCTCTCTCTTTCCATAGCTACCCATTATGTATACATACATATATTCATAGTTGTTCCTTGTCCTGATTGGAAAAACATGCTTCAATTGACAATTCTTCTTTACCCAGGTCTCTCTCTCTCTCTTTTATAGCTTGAATTCAGTATTTTTTGTACGTATTTGCATATTGTATTTTCAATATGAGGGATGATATAGTTTTGTTTTGGGTTTTGAATAAAAATGATCAATTTTTGATTTTTAGTTTTGGGTATGTTAGCTTAATGTGTTATATTAAGAGTTTGAGGTATTGTATATCTTGCTGTTTAAACTATTTCATTATATTTTTCCATCTAATTCCCTATCTGGGTTCATAATGATTAATAAGTTTTAGGCTTGTAGCTGGTTTGTCTCGAAGCTTATCAAGCATATGCCATTCAATTACAATAAAGATTGTTTTTTTGAACAACTTTATGTTTAAAGGTCTAATTTTGGATAGAATGTTATGTTCTTTCTGCTTTTTATTGATTATTCTCTGAATTATATCTTTTTTATTTCACAAAGTTGTACTGAATTGAATCTATTTGGAATCCATTCACTCGTTAAATAAATAATTGAATATCAAGGTAGGGATATAGTTCAAACTAGGCTATTCGTATAACTGCCCGACCTGATGAAAACCATCACATAACATAACGGTCAGATCTGCATTCAGATTGGTCAACCGTTAGCTGGAAAAGCTGAAAAATATTCTCTGGTCGGTCAGTAACGGCTGTGAGAAAAAAAATTGTTGCTTAAACCGAACCAACCGGCAATCTAACTTAAAGAGGTTCATGAATACATGGCTTCATTCTATTAGTTATTGGAGATTACCCTTATCATCATGTCATCTTGCAGGCAATACAGATCTTACAAGTAGCATTATCAGCTTATTCCCATTAACACTTATATATTATACTATTCCCATAGAGACTTAAGCAGAGTACACAGTACACCATTCCCATAGACTTACACAGTACACTAGGAGTCTTTGTTGACTCTGTCTTTAGTCTTTTCCAGTGCGAAGTATCTTTCTCTCTCTTCCATTATGACCGACTTTCTCTCTTCTCTCTTGTCTATTCGCTTCTTTCAATCCCAACGAAATCCCCCTCTCACTCTCTCTCTTCTCTCTTATCTATTCGTTTCTCTCACCCCCAACAAGTTCCCTCCCCTCAGTTCTCCTTCACCCAATAAATATTTGTGAGTTTAGTTGTATACTCGAATTTAATTAAGGTTTCGAATAGAGTTTGAGGTAGATAAGTTGTGTTTTTGTATCACGGACTAATCTGACCACCAAACCGTTTGGTTTGATACAGTCGATTTTGACTAACAGATCGGTTGATGACGGTAAATTAATTTCATGACCTGGTGCATTCGGTTCAAGTAACTGGCTGATAGAAAACCCGACTTGAACCGATCCGCGAGCACCTCTAGTTCAAATGTCTTCACTATCCATAGAGTCTTCAATTAGAAAATTAAACAACCCATAATGTACAAAGATAATGTTATAAATCCAAATGGGTTTGACAAGCAATTCCAAATAGAATTGAACTAGAGAATCATAGGTAGGCTGAAAGATCTATGAAAAAGCAAAAGAAAAAGAAGTGATCAATGGTGGTAAAAAAAGATACCAAATAAGTCTACGAAAATGGAAAAGTTAGACCTTCATTAAATCTGCAAAGACAATTGGAAGGTTCAACCATTTTCTATTATGTTGTGTCATTGTTCTCAAGACTTTTCTTCCCTTAATGTTTCTTGAATTTTATCCACTTTCTAGCTATCCTTTCTCATGAATCTTGGTATTGGGATTGTTAACACCATCGGCACTACTGATTCCTTTGCCATTGATATTGTCACCATCTCCTATCAACCAAAACTATTGGCGTTACATTATGAAAACAATAAGAGCGCGAGAGTCATTTGTCTATTGAGTTTTTTATTGGATCCTCAATTTTACATGAGATGGATGACTAATATGATTGGGATTGGGCCGTGTGCAATTGGATTTGAATGGCAATTCCAAATCTATTAAAGCACACCAACAACTAATTTGGGATTGGGGTGTCTAATTCTATTTCATGTTGCCAAACGCTGCCTAGTTGTATCTCCGTATAAGTTCTCTTTTCTCTCTTTGTGTTGTAGTGACATAATTAGGATTAGAAATATAATTCATTTGTTTTCTTGAGTTTTCTTGGCAGCTAAATGAGTGGAAAAGAAATTTAGGTGTGGTTACATCTTGGGGTCTCGGAAGGGTTATGAGTCTTATAACATTATAGGTCTTTTGATTGTTTTATATGACTTCTTAGTATTCAAGGTCAACAGTACCTTACATTTTTTTTTTCTTTTCTTCTTGTTACTTACTGGACTTTCTTTATGCAGTTTAATCACGATGTTATCTGTGTTGTAATATGTTCTAACAAGCTTGAATGGTTGACATTTTATGCTGATTGGCATCACCATTGTTTCAGATGAAAAGGAGAGCATACCAATGTTGTTGGCCTACAGATCATAATATTCATTACTTCGTAATTTAAAGGGTTTGATATGAATGTCGAAGTGATTGACGTGGAAGAGGGGAACATGGGGCACCATGCCACTGCTGATGATGAAGATGCTGAACCCAATAATGGCGAAGCAGCAAACGCAGCTGGAAATTCTACAGCTCAGGATGACGATGGGGGTGCTGAGCCACATGTGGGTATGGAATTTGATTCTGAAGATGTTGCGAAGACTTTTTATGATGAGTATGCCAGGCGTGTGGGTTTTAGCACCCGTGTTAATCAGTATAGCCGTTCCAAGTCTGATGCGACGGTTACTGTTCTGGAGTTTTTATGCGCCAGAGATGGTTTAAAAAGAATGGCTGGTGATAGCTGTGATGCATTGCTCAGAATAGAGTTAAAGGATCAAGATAAATGGGTTGTGACAAAATTTGTGAAGGAGCATAGTCACTCTACAGTGAGTCCTAGTAAGGTGCATTACCTTAGACCGCGCAGGCATTTTGCTGGTGCTGTAAAGAATATGGCTGAAACTTACCAAGGTGTGGGCGTCGTTCCTAGTGGTGTCATGTACGTGTCCATGGACGGAAATCGTATCTCTGCTGAAACAAATCGTGGAGCTAGGAATGCTCCTCCTGTAGAATCAAGTAGTGCAGTTAAGAACACGGGGCATTTGAGTTATGCTGCTAGACCTGCCAGTCGAAAGAAGACATTAGGGAAGGATGCTCAGAATCTGCTGGATTATTTCAAGAAAATGCAGGCTGAGAATCCTGGTTTTTATTATGCAATACAACTTGATGAAGATAATCGCATGGCTAATGTATTTTGGGCAGATGCAAGGTCGAGATCTGCTTATGGTCGTTTTGGTGATACTGTTACATTGGACACAATGTACAGAGTGAACCAGTATAGAGTACCATTTGCTCCGTTTACGGGGGTGAACCATCATGGACAGATGGTTTTGTTTGGTTGTGCACTACTTCTAGATGAATCTGAGGCTACGTTTGTATGGCTATTCAGGACATTTCTTGCTGCGATGAATGATCAAGCTCCTGTCTCTATAATCACAGATCAGGACAAAGCCATACAAGCAGCGGTTGCGCAGGTTTTCCCTGAAATCCGCCATTGTTTTAACAAGTGGGATGTATTAAGAGAAGGCCAGGAAAAATTGGCTCATGTATGTCATGTGTATCCTAATTTTCAGGTGGAGCTGTATAATTGTATCAACTTGACTGAGACAATTGAAGAATTTGAATCATCGTGGGATTCTATCCTCAATAAATATGATCTCAGGAGGAATGATTGGCTTCAATCTTTATATAATGCACGGGCACAATGGGTTCCTGTGTTTTTTCGGGATACTTTTTTTGCTGCAATTTCTCCAAGCCAAGGACTTCAATGTTCCTTTTTTGATGGTTATGTAAACCAGCAAACGACTTTACCCATGTTCTTTAGACAGTATGAAAGAGCTTTAGAGAATTCGTTTGAAAAGGAAATAGAAGCAGATTTTGACACCATATGCACCGCACCAGTGTTGAGGACACCTTCACCTATGGAGAAACAGGCAGCAAATCTCTACACAAGGAAAATATTTGCAAAATTTCAAGATGAGTTAGTTGAGACCTTTGTGTATACCGCAAATAAGATTGAGGGTGATGGCGCTATTAGCACGTTTAGGGTTGCAAAATTTGAGGATGACAACAAAGCGTATATTGTCACATTGAATGGGCCAGAGATGAGAGCTAGTTGCAGCTGCCAGATGTTTGAGTATTTAGGTATCCTTTGTCGGCACATTTTGACAGTTTTTACCGTGACAAATGTACTTACTCTGCCATCTCATTATATCTTGAAGCGATGGACAACTAATGCCAAAAGTGGGGCTGGCTTTGATGAACGCTTTGAACTTCAAGGTCAGGAGTCACTCACATTGCGGTACAACAATCTTTGCAGGGAAGCAATCAAATATGCGGAGGAAGGGGCAATAGCTCCAGAGACCTTTAACGTGGCAATGGTTGCTCTTGGGGAAGGAGGAAAGAAGGTGGCTGCTATGAAGAAAAACGTAGCGAAAGTTGCACCCCCTAGCTCACACACTAGTGGGGTTGGTTATGATGACAAGAGGACCTCTAATTTGGCTCCAGATATGCCCCCTTTACTTTGGCCACGACAAGATGAAATTACACGCCGCTTTAATCTTAATGATGCTAGTGTTCCTGCTCAACCTGTTGCTGATTTGAATTTGCCGCGCATGGCTCCCGTGTCTCTTCACCGTGATGATGGTCATCCTGATAACATGGTAGGGGAAATATATATTTTGTTGCTCAATACATCTGTGGTTTCTGGTATTATGGAACATGACTTTCTTTTCTTTTTTTCTTTTTTTTTTCCTTCTTTTGCACAGGCGGTTCTTCCTTGTCTTAAGTCTATGACTTGGGTGATGGAGAATAAGAATTCAACACCTGCAAATAGAGTTGCCGTTATCAACCTGAAGGTATGCACTGCAGGTTTTCATATAAGGTTCCCTTTGCAAATTTTTTATTTGATCAATTAATTTTTAGAGGCTTTCTCTTTGCCTCATATTTGATATAATTGTATTTCTTGTATTTCCTATCCATATTTTTATTCGGAAATCACTTATTCATTGTAGAGTGAGGATAAAGTTTGGATCATTGTTGGCTTTGTTTGGGCATTGTGTCTCTTCCATAGATTAGAGACAGTTATTTCTTCCTTTTTTGGGACTAAATAGAAGATTTATTTCTTAGTTGAAGGGCTGCTTGGTAAGAGAAGAAGCTAGGAATGAAGCTCCACTTCGTGTGATATGGATCATGTGGGGCATATGGGTGGAAATAAATTGGTGATTCTTATATTTGGATACCAGGGATAGTTTATCCTTCTTTAGACAGCTCATTGGATTTGTGGAGCATTTGGATTAGGGAGTTGCTGTATTAGTTGTATAGTTTTTTTGTTACATACGTACTTATACTGCTGCATCCCATTTTGGTGCTTGTTTTGTATAATTTTTTTTCCCTTACCACAGAAGTTTTTTTTTTTTTTGGGAGAGCTTCATACAGAGAAATTTTCAAATAGAAGAAATGTTTCAAGATTCATTACATTTATTTTGGTCCTTGGGGCATTATAAAACTTTCATGGGCTATTTGAGAACCATATGTAGCCTCGGTATAAGACTTTTGCTATTGATATTTTCTAGCCATGGAGTTGGAAATTGCCAAGAATTGATGTTTAAATTTGTCACTTGCAGTTGCAAGATTATAGCAGGGCAACATCTGGAGAATCAGAAGTTAAGTTTCAGCTTTCAAAGGTCACACTGGAGCCCATGTTGAAATCGATGTCCTACATCAGTGAACAGCTGTCTACCCCTGCTAATAGGGTTGCTGTCATAAATCTGAAGGTATGTCAAACCCAAATATCATAATATTTTATAATATTCTGCAAATTTGGTTATTTATTTGGCATGCTCATTTATTTAATTTTTCTTCCTTCCTGTCTGTGGGGTGGGGTGGGGTGGGTGTTTGGTGTTGGGTTGTTAATTCTCTGAATTACTTGGATGATTCTTCTTGGTTCTTCTTCAAGCAGAACATTCAATACTAGTCACAATCAGCCTTTATTTCATTGATACTTCATCTAAAAGCTTACTGCTGTATTCTTGGTTCTTTTGCAACACTATAAGCATTTTTCTCTATGTTAGATAACCATTTGCCAAAGCTTAATGATGTAGGATTTATGGGAGAACACTCTTCTACAAATAAGGATATCATTTAAAGGGTGAATTACAGTGACCTCCACTGAGGTTTGTAATAATTTCATTAACCTTTCGTGAGGTTTTTGACATGACATTGATCTCCCTTGTCATCTTGTTCCCCTAATGTCATTAGCGGAAGGTGTTGTTTTACTAATTTATCTTTGCATTTAATGAGACATTTTTCTATATATATTATTGTTTTCGTAAGCAAACATACTTAACCACAATGCCCTCTATTTTTATAACCAAACAACACAATCATCTACAACCAAACAACCTGCAATTCATCCCCCCTCTTTCTATGATCTGACCCATCCCTTTCATGATCACCATCATCTGCAGCACCATCCCACACTGCCCCCACCTCCTGGCCTTCTACCGAGTGCAACCATAACCACAACCACTCCTCCCCTTCCTTTCCCTATGACCATCCACCACAGCCAGAATTTGATGGTGACAAAGGAGGCGATATTGTGTGAGGTGAGATCAACCGGTAAGTTGTGAAGGTCTGGGATTGATGATGAGCTAGTTGTGGAAGGACAAATTAGAAAAGAGATGGTGTGGCAGTGGATTAGTGTCAAGACCAAGACCATCAACACCAAGCCCATCGCCCATGACTAGGACCATCAACACCAATCCATATATGCTTCCTATCGACACCAAGCTTGTCTTGTTCAGTATTTGCACCATGCCAATGATGGTTTTGATCTAGCGCACATAAAGTGTTTGACAAAATGCCCCAATCTCATTCCTCGTCTAGAAGGTGGCTTTATGCTAGAGGGTGGTGGTGCACTGTAGGGGTGGAGGCAGAGGTGGGTGTGTGATGGGTGCAATGTTGGATAAGGGGTGGTGTGGATAGTAGTGCAGAGTGTGAAATGGGTTGTTCACAGTAGTAAGGGGAGTGATGGTGGAAGGAACCTGGGTGTTCGTTGGGGAAGGGGAAAGGAGAAAAAGGGTTGTTGGATGGTGGTGGTGTGCTGCTGTGGTAGTGGTGGTGGTGGTGTTGTCCATACTTTCCCCTGTACTCATTGTCCGTTTCATAATCATTCGGCAACGGTTCGTCATTAACAATCCTTATGAGCTGTAATTTAATTTATTTGTCTCCTTTAGATTATGCACAAAGTTGCTCTTGAATCTTATCGACAGTTTTTCCTAAACTTCTTAGTTTGGCAAGAAGCTTATTTGTTCTCCCTCCCTCTCTCTCTCTCTCTCTCTGCACTATCAAAGTTGCTTTTGATTGAACCAATTGAAGCAATTTATTGTGTTTCCATTCCTGCATCAATTTCTTTTGACTTCTTCAGGGGTGTGGTGTGGGTTTGGGAGGGGAAGAAAGAAAGGAGGTCTTGTGGGATGGGTTTTGGGAGGGGGAAGAAACAAGAGTATTTTTGTCTTTTACTTTACTTTAAGGAAAATGTTTGGTGGCCACAAATTCTGTGGCTCAAATGGCCCGAAAACGCCAAAACGACCGTTTTGGGGTTTTCGGGCCATTTGAGCCACAGAATTTGTGGCCACCAATCATTGCCCTTACTTTAAATATGAAGGGTATTTAGCCTAATTATATTCATACATCACAAAAAATCTCATAATGCCATTTGTGTCATTTGGATATAAAATTCTAAACAAAAGTTACAAAATGAATTGTTTAGATATACATTTAGTTTGAATATAAACTTCCGAACACATTTTTTGTTCGGAAATCTATGTCTGAACATTTGACTTTTGTTCGAAGTTCACATCCGAGTGGCATAAATGGTGTGTACTGAGATTTCTGTGATATGCAAATAGAATTTCCGGGTATTTATGTCTATACATAAAAATGGGAGTTGAAATAAAATAAACTGGTTATCTCAGCAGAATTTGTTAGTCAAGTTAACGGTCAACTAATGGAAGGGGGAAGGTGAAACTCAAAAGTAAACTTGAAGGGAGGTTAGTGTCATTTCAGAAACCTGAGACGAGGTCTCTATAATTGTCATAAAAAGGAGTCACTGTAATTTACCCTAAAAATTAATCTGTGCCAATGGTATACTCTATTTAGGTTTCTACAAGTTATCAAACAAATGTATGACTGTATGTTAGGAGGTTTTAGGGACTGGCTGTGATTTTTTTTGTTTTTGGTGGTGGGAAGGCTGATAAAATTATGGGGTTATTGGGTTTGCAATAGATATAAGAAGCATTATGATTTTGGGATTTCAATAATGCAAGAAAGGATGGAAATTAGGCCTGTCTTTGGGGCTGCCAAAAGCAAAAGTAGTTTTTTTCATTTCCGTTGTTTTCAGGTGGCCAGGTTGGTTCCTCGATTGAAGGAATGATTGGGTTTATTAAGTAGGTTTCTGGCCACGTATGGAATTGCTTTTGGAAGGGTTCTGTTTATTTCGAAGGAAATGCTGCAAAAGGCATTTGATGGACCTAAAATGGATTAAAATTACAAGTTAGGTGGCAGGGCTTTTGTGGAATAGGGTGTTTGGTTTGGGCAATGTACAGTGGGTGGCTCCTAAAGGAGTTGCTCGATTGCTATTATTTGATTTTCAAGTTTTTGGAAGGTCAAAGAGGGCTAAAGTTCTTTGGAGTTGTGTAGTCTTTGCAATCTTCTGGGTCATTTGGTTGGAGAGGAATGGGCGTATCTTCGAAGGAGGAACTAGGGATATAGATTATTTATGGGATAGAGTGAGATACTTGGCGTCTTTTTGGGCTTCGGCAAGTCCTATGTTCCGTGGGATCCCTCTTTTTTTGATTGTTTCAGATTGGGTGTCGGTTTGTTTTGTATAGTTTGTAGTTGGTGGTCTTTTGGTTTGGTTGTCTTTTTGGATGTATTTTTTTCTTATTCCTTGTTGAGGATGCCTTATCCTCTCTTCTTTTTGGCCATGAGCCTTAATAAAATTAAACTTATCTGTTGCTGATCAAAAAAAATTAGAAGTTAGGTATTTGAGAAGCATATCTGGCAGTGCTTCTGAATGTGCTTCTTGGCGTATTGGAGGAACACATGCATTTAATTAATAATAATTAAATTTTGAATTTGTTTCTAGACAATGGTAGAATTCTATGCATGTTCTAATCTCAACCTTCTCACATGCTCACTCTCGTTGCACATAGACAGGCAGAAAGCAAGCCAGAACTTGGTGAAAATAGGTAGGAAGAATGGGGAACAAATTCAAATGGGGAGAATTGAAAATTAGGAAATTTTTGAGGTTTTAGGTTGTGAATTGTTAAAGTAAGGTTCTGGATATATGAATTGCAAAGGGCTATAATTGGCTTGGTTTTTTAAACGGCCAGATTGTGGGTTTTTCAAAACTGGCATTGCTGAAGGGTCTGAACAGTGGCTAATTTAGTGTTTTGATCATTAAATTGAATGGTAGGAGGTATGGAAGGGTTTAGGGTTGGTTAAGGCTTGATTGGATGCAAGTTTGGGGTTGAAACTCGAAAGAGGGCTGTCCTGGGATTTTGAACAGTAGCCTGAGATCAGTAATATTGTAGCTGTGCAAGAATAAGAGAGAAAGAAGAAGAGCTCATCTCGCAAGGATTAATCAAAATTACACAAATACCGTCTTAAAGCATAACTTGTTTGCTGGCCATTGACCAAAACTATAGCCTCTGTCCTAATATGAAAATTACTGAAATGCCTTAAACTTCATAAAAACCTACAAGGTGAAAATTGGCAGTGGTTGCAACCATTGATTCGAAACTATAGAGATTGAAATTTTCATTCTTCTGAATTCCTTGGTAAAGAAAAGCATCAGTAGTCGTTGAAATAATTAATAAAAGTATATCTCAAGAGAGCTTGCCTAATGCCTTGACTGAAGCCCAAGCCAAACTTGGGTCAGGTTGGCTTTCCGAATTCAATCAATCCTTGTAGGGGAAATGTAGTCCAAATTTCAGCTTATTGGGTTGGGATTGTTCTTACAACTCCCACGCACACTCCCAAAAGCCAATTGCATCCATAAATAAAGATGCATGCTTAACAATATTTGATGCATGAATGTTCGATATGTGGTACTGGGATTGGTTATTCATTTGATGTAGGCAGGCACCCTTTTGTTGCCAAAGTTCTTTCCGTGCATCCTTTGACATGCTTTACTTTATTTAGTTCATTTGTTGTTGACATTCTTCTATCCTATCTTTTCAGCTCCAAGACACTGAGACAACTTCTGGAGAATCAGATGTTAAATTCCAGGTGTCAAGGGATACTCTTGGTGCCATGTTGAGATCAATGGCCTACATCCGTGAGCAGCTCTCGATCGCTGTAAGCATTATCTACCTGCTTGTATTGTGATAATTTACTTTCAATGGTTTTTTACCCTTGTAAGGGTCTGCCGACTAATTAAGGCAAAATTTGCATTTTTAATATTTTGTTTTACTAAAAGGAGAACTAAAATAAAAGTTGGATTGAGATAATAATGAAAGACATGTTAGCTTGCGGTTTAACTGAGATTATGGCCCTTGATTGAGCAAAATGGCGTAGCAGGATTCATGTAGTAGATCCAAAGTAGTTAGGAAAAGGCTTAGTTGAGTCAAGCCGAGTTTATTTAAAAAATATATTTCTTTATCCTATATAACTTGTTTATGAACCATTTCTTTAGATATTCTCTTGTCAAATCTTTTCTAGACTCTAAATTTGGATATATATCGAGTCAGGTGTTATATATATACACGCATTTTCTCACAAGGAATACATTGAGGAAATGACTAGACGAACAAATATTTGGATTGGTAAATCTAGTGTGGTCTAAAGATGTTACACATTTTGTTATGTGTGCTCCAAACCTTCAATCACTGGGATATTAGTGTTTTTGGCAACTATGGTCAAAATGTAAACAATTACATGGCACTAAAAAGGTACGAGTAGGGGTTCGTTTTAGAATCTCTCTATCCAAATTATTTTTTACAATTTTCAAAATTGTTGATTCTCAAAATTTCTAAATGTGGCCTGCATTTTCCCTTCAGTTATGCACAAGTAGCTAAATATATTTTCTCAGATACTGTGGACACTCAAAAGGCACCCACATTCTCTAAACTTTCCACAATGTGTGCAATCTGTCCCCTAAGATGCTGACTCAAGTCACTCAAATTGAAGTTGTCTTTTTGGCTGTTTTGAGCCGAACTGTTTTTCATATAGCAAGTACTATGCCAAGTGGATATTTTTAAATGAGTTCGTGCATGTGATACTTTCATGCTATGAAGCATGGGTACTTCGACAAACATGGCGTACCCGTACTAGGTACTTACCGGCATATGGTATTTCGTATAGTACTTTTGCATACGTACCGGGTACACGAAACACATACCCAATTTTTTTCTTCTTAATTTTTGGCGTACCCAGACGTACCTAGTATATACCCAGATAAATTCCTTTTTCTATACTTGTTTTTTATTTTTAGTTTTATACTTAGCATGATTTTAAAATTAAGTTATGATTTGTAAGTTATTTAATATAATGATATTTAATTTTGGTTTATACCTTTACTTTTGACATTAAATGTTAATTGTGGGTTATATCTTGACAAATTAAACGATTTAATCAATTTTTGCTTTACTCCAAATTAAAAATAGATATTTTTTTTTACAAACATACCAAGCCGTTCCTGTACCCTACTTTTTTTAAACTTTATCATATCGACGTACTTGTATCGTACCAGTACTCGTACCTGTGCCTCTGCTTCATAGCTTTCATGTTGTTGGTTCTTAATCTCTTGTCCATTCCTAGGGCCTGGTCCAAGCATATTGCGATTAATTTGGTCACAATGGTAGTGTTTGTGATCTGGGCGTTCCTACCAGGAATAGTAGTTCAAGTCCATGTGTTTTAAACTCCATTACAGCGTTTATGTGATAACAAAATGAATGTTGCTGTTGTTCTATCCTGATATGAGGCTCTATTCAACTGTCTAATTTGTTGTCTTTAATTGCATTTCTGAATGTGGAATTGTAACGGCATTGTGTAACTGAAGTAAACATAAGAACAATGCCACTTGCCAACCCCTTTTGTCGTGACTTTGATTTTTCTTTTCTGGATGTGAATTTCTATTTTGGCAGGCTGAGTCGCAGTCAGAGACTCCATCGAAAAAGCAACGGAAGTAGAGATGATGTCGTTTCTGTTCTGTAGCTTGGTGTCTGACCGTCTTACTGTGATGGAAGAAGGTATTTGGTTAATGTACACTATTCAGCTACCGCTCCTAGTGAGTTGGGGATGCTCTGATTTATTTGTCTATTAAGTTTCCTAGCATCTCTTGCCTTTCCATTTAAGCATTGTTCTTACATATTGTACATGTAACTTAGCAAAAACCTAGAGTCCAAGCATCAAAGAGTGATATTCTTGTGTGTAAAATGTTATGTATTGTGATGCCTCACCTCAGGGGAGAGCATTGATATAATTTTTTTTTTTTTTAAATTTCAATGACTATGTTTTTTTTATTCAATTTGTTTAATTGGAAATGGTAAATCCGTCGATAAATTCTGTTAGCTGTAAACTTCTCATTGTGTTTGTTTATAGTCTTTTCGAGCATTGGTGCTTCGCTTGTGCATCTTTGCGAGTTTTTTTGGAACAAAAAAAGAATAGTGGGTCTGGTTGGCTGTGTAAGTGAAATAAATCTGCTGATTTTACTTTCTAACATGTGAGACGAGCTTTGATTTTAGTTGCATTTGTAATTAGCACGTTCATATATTTGTGGGATCATTTTAGTTATGATAAATTTTGGTGCTTGCGTGTTTTGTAATTTGTTGATTGTAAAAGAAAGGTATGCCTTTTATGCAGTCAGATTCAAATGCTATATAACATTTAAAAAGAAAATTTTTTGGATAATCAAATGCTGTATAATATTAGGGTTTCATCGTTACTTCATTTGAGATATGAGGTAAGGAAGAACAGTGGGATATAATTTGAATGGGAAAGACTAATACAGGGTTTCATTCTAAAAGATTGATGTTTTGAAACTGCAATATTGATGTTTTGTACAAATTTCACAAATAAAAGATTGACGTTGCTGTGCAAATTTCATATTATATTGATCTTGCTTAGAGATCTTAATGATCACAGATTAAAAAAATATGATGATCTTTCCTTCTCATTTTATTTGTTCATCTTTCATTTTAGGATGTCCCAAAAAAGATTGTCCATCTCGTGTAGTCCAAAGACAAAATGTGCAAGTTTCCAAAACTATCCCTCGTATAAAACTATAATTATGTTTGAAGGTAAGAAATAAAGGGGCATTAATTAAACATTTTTCAAATTGAACAAAGAAAGTAAAATTTATCAAAAATGGGGTGATTGGGAAATCCATGTCATTGAAATCTCTCTCAATACATATTTATGATTTTTTGTTCTTTTGCGGTTTGAAATTTGTTCTGTCGCTGAAGTATTTCGCTCTAAAAGCATCTTGCCATCATGCTTAATCTATTGATGAATCTAGCAAATACAATTCTGTAAGCAAACTCTGCTTTCAAGTTTGGGCAACTATAAACAATAGTGGAATCTCCATTCACAAGGGTTAGCCTTTATAAGGAGCAAAAGCAAATCAATGAAGAATTGAACTTAATTTAACGGAAATGGTGACACGCAACATTAACCTAATTCTAATAATATGGTTTGCTGTGAAATCCGATTAGAAGTCAAGGAGCACGTGAGATTGATATCTGAGAACTGAGGCGGTCAGAGGCAAACAAAGTGTAAAGTCCAACAAGCCAAGGCATAGAAGATGTAGAGTCTGGCAAAGATAAACAACATAGGTAGGTACACACAAGGTGTAGAGTCCGATAGAGAGACTGAAAAATCCAAGACGAAACCCCAAAGAGCAGCCAACATATGACCGAAATTGAACTGAAATTTCTCCCACAGGGATATAATGCATTTTTATTGCATTACAAAGAGCACCAAACGAAATTTCATCCATCAACACACACAATCTAAAAAATTAAAGAAAATTTGATTAACAGGCCACGCAGTTTAGGGGCGGTGGTGAAAAAAGTATGGGGAGGTGAGACACGACAATCAAGCACCGCAATCTGAGAAATACAACAAACTGCTTTTCATTTTCCAAATAAATACAGAATACTTGATTGACAAACCGTATCCAAAAACTGTTTCCACAAGAAAATATTTCCCAAAAGAACTTGCTTTCTTAGATGAACACAAAAAACTGTTCTGGAATTTTTGATAACTGTTTTGCATGAATGAAGATGAAACAAACAAGGTTTTTCATACTCTCTGTTGCTTTTGTTTTGAGTAAAACAAAAAAAAAAAGCCAAACACATACACAAACAACAGGCCATAACACATACAAAAACTTAAAATCACCCTCCCTGCCCTTTGAATCATCCAGTCCTATGCCTCAATCCATAAATAAATTATCAAACTTCAATTGCCAAATTAAAAGGCATCATCTGCAAAAGAGGACATACCACAGTTCCACGCCTTAAAAATAACAGATTGCAGAGGATGCTCACAACTCTTTGTCCACTTTTATTATTGGAGATGTGGCAAAGGGAAACAAACACACAACACAGCTATCTGAAACTAATAATGTCCAGAAGGAGGTCAATTTTATAGCACTAGCAAGTCATAATTGTTTAAAAAACTCCCACTAATTCACTGTAGAGCCTTTCTCTTATATTATCAGAATTTGAAGCATTACCTACATTGGAAACATAAAAAGAATCATGAGAAACACCACCACTAGCACGCAGTTTAGTTCACCCTCTTGGATTTATGGCACAATGGAAATGGAGGTTGTCTCTGCTTCTACTACTGGACAACTCTGGCAAAATTACAGCACAGTTGTTCGCCCCAAGACAAGCAAGCCAGTTGGATAAAATTTTAATGCCAGAGATACACTTGAGAGGCCTACAAACTTCTGTAGTCTATCACCGTGACTTCATCCTCTGGCGCATCAAGGTCTTGATAACTGCACCAATGTATGTATATGTGAGTTAGTGCTACACCTTATATCATCAGGACCAGATTAAACAAAAAAAAGTAATGAAACTTAATCTAAGACTTTAAAAAAAAAAAAAATACAATTATATCCTTGATATCAAACTAACAAAGCAAAGAGGAAGGACAAGTGGATAAACTGTTGGAAGGAAAAACTATAAACAAGAAACAGCATATTCTCATGGAAACTTCATGAGGTCGACCAACCTGCAGAAGGGTGGAGGTGGAGGGTGGGTTAGGTGCAGTAAATTAATATAGCGCTTATGCTTGTTGGTAAAGGAAAACATGTTACTTTTGCTGATACCATGTGACACAATGTTGTGATATGTACACAATTTGCATGCCAGTCCTATTGATTGTGTAGACAATTAGCATCATCAGTTTTCCTCCCTAAAATCTTTCAGTGCTTAAAATAAAAGCACAATTTGCAAAAAAAAGATGTACTTGCACAACACACAGAAAGATCACAAACAGGAGTAGAATGCAGAAAAAATTGAAACAAGATAAAACAGATGTAAGCTGGTCCAATAGCTTCTCAAACAACTGACTTTGTAAAATGAAAAATAAGAAGATAAATAGAAGCCTAAATAAAAAATCAGTACTTTGAAAAAATAAAAATTAAGTCTAGAGCTTGCCTTCGTAAACGTCGAGGATCTTGTCGGAATGCTGGAGGTAAAGCAATGATTGGGGCTGGCCCACTCATTTGAGGCCCTGACCGCCCATTTCTACCACCGCCTTCAAAAGGGGAAGGTCCACCTTGCTCTCGCAGCATCCGCATTGCAACTTCAGGAGGAGCTGGGACAAATGGTCCCAATGGTCTGGAATCATAACCATTCGCAAATGCTAAATAAGATAAGCCAAATAAAATACCAACTGCCATCACACAAGGCCAAATCATAGAATGAACTGAACTTACCCAGCCCCAGGAACAGGCATAAGTACAGGAGGGGGGGCTATATCTGAAGGAAAAGGAGGAGCAACATGAATTCCTTGTCCACCAAAAGAATCAAACATTAGTTCATCTGGATTGCCTCCAACTGGACCATCATTATTGGACTGGAAATCCAATGACTGTGGCTTCTCAGACCTATCAAATCTTTCACTGCCATTATCTCGATTGTCACGTTCTCTACGGTTGCCACGTTCATCTTTCAGTCGGTTATCTGGACCTGGCCTACGCCTCTGTATCTTCTCCTTCTGCAGAAACAATGATGATAGTGATTATAATAACATTATAATTGAACAAAAAATAATGGCTTCCTGTACACATGAAACACTGGACACAGAAATTCAATGAGCAACTTCAGCAAATTGCATAACTGTTAGAATTTACCATCACCTAACCCACTACACCACTACCACCTCACTTACTCCACTAAACCTAACCCACTACACCACTATCACCATCCACTACACACCATCCACTACACCTACATCTATATAAGGAACCATTTGTAATAGACAGAACAACACATCAATATAAGATATAAATCAATAATACATATATTTTTACATGGTATCAGAGCAATAGGTTAGCTCTAGGTGATCTTCACCTTCCGGCGGGCGGTAACCTTGCCTTCACCGCCCGCCGGACCCCAACACATACCTCCTCTCCTTTCACCTTGGTCTCTGCAACCTCACTCTGTAAATCATCACCTGCCTCTGTATCTTCTCCTTCTGCAGAAACAATGATGATAGTGATTATAATAACATTATAATTGAACAAAAAATAATGGCTTCCTGTACACATGAAACACTGGACACAGAAATTCAATGAGCAACTTCAGCAAATTGCATAACCCATATGGAATAATTAGCAGAAAGTCAAGAAGAAATATAAGTACACAAAATGGTAATTCTTCTACATACAAGATGATGTCCGTAGACTATTAAGTCCACACGGATTTCAAGGCAGAAGTGAAAATATCAAGTAGATCAATACAAAACCCTTATCTTTCTCTGCATACCATTAACTTGGGAAATTGAGCACGGCATTTGACACCAGAAAACATGAGACAAATGAAAACTCGGAAGTCATTGTTACAATTGACACACATGCATGGCCAACTGAAAGGCCTTATCCGACTTCCAAGGTGCAATTTTCACCATCTGCTAATTATTTATATCATAGTTCCTTTCAATGTTTGCTCAATTCTTAATGTGCAATGACAATAAAACAGAATCATCTAAGTTGACAAATTCCCATTGTCAATATTAACGAACAGTAATACACAATGCAGGTTACAGAGTCGTCCGAGAGAAAGGCATATGTGAGGTCTACGTACAAACTAGGTTAGAAACATCAGCCTAATGATTTCTTTACATTTGGATGGTTCTTTTTTTACTTTAAAAGGAAGAAATGTGGAATATTTTACGCATTGATAAGATTTTTTTAAATTTTTTTGGGATAAATTAGGCATTGATAAGAAGATAATAATATCCTCATCCATTTGAGAATTATGATACTCAATTCATGGGATCTTACATCCAACTAACACAGTAGTAGTCTCCAAACAGATTAGGAAGTGTGGAAGTGTGAAAAGAAAAATTTACAATAGGATTTACTAGTAGTTCAATCCAAAAATAATTGAGTTACAGTTTTTGCCAACAAAGTTGATTTCATTTTTGGTATGATACATAGGGCACTTTGCCCACATATGGTCACCATATTGGTCACTTTTGAACCCAACATGCATCTCAAGAAATGTTCAACACCAGGTTAGGATCCACATCCCTCGTCCATGTCCATCGATACAAATGTTGATTTTACATATTTCTAAAATTAACAACTTATGTGCCTATTGCAGCTTTAGGTCAGGGATTCTGCAATAAATTATTCTTTTCATATCGTTGCAAACTAGCAGCATATAATCCACAGATGCATGTGTATCTTCGGCCCATGTATTCTACCTTGACAGTGCAAGAAAGATGTTTCAGGTCCATTAACAGGCCACCATATGTGTGTGTGCGTGTGTGTTCCATAAGAAACACCAGAGACAAACAGATCAGCTCACATATACCAAGTCCAGTATGTAGGAATTGTTGTCTTCCAACAGCCTGCATCTATGAAATTATTTGTTAAGCATTGAATCAATTCTTTTGCACTTTTATGTTTCCAACTGTTACAATGTAAGTGTTTGTTGGATGTCTTATATTTGTTGGATATTGGTATTTGGAATGTTGAATTTTGTGGGTTGTTTTAAGGTTTAGGTTTAGGTTTAGGTTTAGGTTTAGGTTTAGTATTTGAAATCTTGAATGCATCATGCTTTTCAGAATATAACTCTTTGACATTTTACGAAAAAATGTACAAAAAAGTAGAGAGGTGATGTGACTCAAAAAAGATAAAAAAACACAAAGTATGATATCTTAGTAGCATCCCAAACAACCCAAGTTTTTGTCTATGTTATTTATTTATTTTTAATATCCTTGGAGTTTGCCTTTCTTTGATGAAGTCATTGCTTCGCCTCATCAACTCATGCTTAGGTCCCCAGAGGCCATGTCATCTTGGTTCACTTTCACCTTTTGAAAAAAAAAAAAAGACTGGCATGGACCAAGCTAAATAGTGTGAGCTTATAACCAAGTGGGGCAATAAGGTGGTTGGTTGCTGGTCCTAGGCCTCTTGCATGGATGAGTGCATCATTCTTTTCACTTCCATACCCAAAGAACATAAACACGCACAGAACACTAATCTATTTATATGTGAATGACAGATTACAGAGAATGAATCGTACCGGTACAGAAGGCTGCATAACAGGAGTCCCACCAGGTGCATCTGCATCACTGCAATGACAGGTAGCTAATCATCACTGTAACTCTATAATCAACACAAAGAGGAAAACACAATCCTAACCAGAAAGAAATACTTACTCCATGTAGTTCTGGAAATACAGATCTTCACGCACTTTAGAAGTTAGCTCCATCACAAGTTCTGGGTGCTTCAGCTTTAAATGCTTATGGACAAACTCAGCAGCATGGAATAGCTTTGTGCAACCCTTGGCTCCACAACCATACTTCCACCCATATTTCTCATCTCTAATTTTTCGGACATAGGGGTCTAAAGCTTCAACAGCAGTCGCATCTATCTTTTCCTTAGCAGTCATTATTTCCAACGGATCATGACCCTTCAACCTCTCTTGCCAACGAGAGTCTAGTTTCTTTTCCCACTCGGCCCCATTACTAGGCCCATCAGAACTCTTGCCATCTAACCTGACATGCCGGAGACCCTTTGGTTCACTTGTTTCGACCAATCCATAGTAATCCACTCCATGAATGCGCCAAAGATAAGTAATAAGGGTATCCAGTAGCTCAACACCCTCAAGGCCTTTGACAGAGGCTAAACCCCGTACAATAATAACCGGGCCACTGGAACCACCATGAGACTTGTCCCTGTTCATTCTGTCATTATCAACCCTAGATAGTATATTGTCCTCAATTCCCTTTTCAGAGTCAAGTTTTCGAACAAGGGCCTGGCCCTGTTCAATGTCAACTTGGATCCGTCTGGGTTCAGAGCTGACTGGGTGAGCCTTGGGAGCAGCTGAAAGAAGATCAGTTTCTTTAGCTGGGGCCTTACCATGCCGTTTTCTTTTCCCACTTATGTCTGCTTCATCCTCAGAGTTAGGATCACTTGTCTGTCCTGATTTGGTTGAAGATGAAGCATCAACACCAGGACCTCTGCTTCACGCGAGGAAAAGTAATTGGTATGGTATCAAATCATTTATAAATTTAAAAAATAAAAATGAAAATAAAAAAATACAAAGCGTTTGGTGCCATGGTTTGGGGTGCAGTGTTAAGTGCATAAGTGTAGATCTTACAAATCCAATGCTCCACTCTGCAAATCAAGCAAGAAATCCTTTGCCATCTTTCGTGCAAGCTCATTCCTCCTAAACAAAAATAAATTAATAAAAAACAATACTCAAATTAAAAACCAGATAACAGCAAATAACAGTTAGCAACCCTTAACCAAAAACATCTTAAGCATTTATTTTAGGTTTTCCTTTTCCATCTCTTGATTGACTTTTTAAAGTTAACCACACGAGAATTTTTATTATTATAAAATACATAAAACTAAGTTACCAACTTCCATCCTTCAATGATGTAAGTAGCACACCTTTCTATCACAGCAAGTAAATTTGTGGGATGATATTTGTCTTTCAACCTACATACAAAAGCAAGATCAATTAGAAATATATATATATATATATATGTGATAGAAAAAGTGACCACAAATTAAAGAAAAAGAAGAAATGCACCATTGTTCATCTTTGTGAGCATCAAAAAAAGCTCGTTTCTGAGTCGATATGTACTCTGACTTGTATTCCTGATATCTGTTAACAAAAAGCTAAGGTCAATCCAAGATTCCAAAAAGCAAAAGTAAATGAAAAACTGGAGAGGGGGGAAGCACAGTTGAAGAAAGTTGCTAAGCTCAATTTATGTTCAAACACATACAGCAATTAAAACATTCCTTCCTGTACCTGCGCTCAGCTTCTGCTGGTAGAATGTCATCTTCAAGCTCCTGAATGAACTGCTTATAAGACATCAAACCTTCTCTGAAAAATAAAATTTTTAGTGTTACATTCTTGTCACAAACATAGACAAGTGACACGACACAACAATTTTCAATAAAATACAGGACACAATACGCCTAGGACACATTAAATTTTACTTTTTAAAAGTTTATTATATGTCAAAAATATGAATAGTTTATTCAAAGATAATGAAAAAAAATTAAAAATAACACTAATTAAATTAGAGGCCATATATTCCATAACTTGACCATCAAGATATCATTCACGTAATAATTGCATTATAAAAACGTCATAATTGCATTATAAAGAATGCAAACTATTGTAGATCATTAAAATACACATGATATATTCATGAACTCCTTGGTGGTAGAAGTATCTATGATGCTTTTAAAGTAACGAGTCATTATGATGCTTTTAAAGAAAGTAACGAGTCATTATCCATAGATACTTCTGTCACATATACATGAACTCCCCCTTAGTGGTAGAAGTATTAATCTTTTTGAATATCTGGCTAGGGCATAATAATATACTAAGATGGTTACCAAAACCAGCTCAGAAAGAGGATCAAAGGGAGACAAGGAGAGAGAGGTGGACATAAAAAAGTTCTTTTTTTCTTTTTTATTTATTTTTTAAATATGAAGAACAAGAAGCATATGGAGTTCTCATCTCTTCTTAATTAGCAATCAAATGTTTGTGTATTAGCGAAAATTGAGAAACAAAGCTTTTGAGTAAGAAATCTGGTGACAACTAAATTGTTAAAGAATAAAATTACATTAGCATCTCTTTTCTTATTGGATAAAATGAAATTAGCATCTCACTTTCAACTTGCACAGAGTTGAAATTTCCAATAATTTAAATAAAAAGTCAAACTCTGGCTTAGCCTCAAAAAACATATTACTAGAAACCCTTGTCTTACAAGGCATAGTGATACATTAGAGTCTAACCAGTCTGAAATGCCTACCTCTGAGAACTCCCTGCATTGGAGGCATCATTGAAACCACCACGACCTGAATCCCAGTCTGCAAAACAAGGAATACCCAATATGCTCTATGTTAACAATAAAAGACAAATTTAAAAATTATCGGCATGCCAGACAGAATATCAGCAGCCAAACTTCTGGGCAAAGAATGCACAGCTAGCCCTAAAAAGAAAGAAACATCACCCAAAATATATACTCCCTCCGTCCCAAAATATTAGTCCCTTATTCCATTTTTCATTGTCCCAAAATATTAGTCCATTTTCAAAAATCAAGTACAAAAATAATATAAATTTCCTATTTTGCCCTTCTTTTAAATTCATTAACATAAAAAGTACAATTATGACATTGATATTCCCCAAAAACGTACTATTAAAGGGTAATTTTGGAAAATCAATTTTTTTAAAGTGCAATAATTGTACTACTAAAAAAAGTTAGATTCTTCAAAATGGACCATTATTTTGGGACGGAGGGAGTATATATTTGTTTTTCATTTAATTCCTATGAGCAAATCGATGAATGCCACCTTGACAAAATCATTAAAAAAGTTCAAGACTTGATCCTGTTCCATTTTGAAGGTTAGCACAAAAGACTCGGCTGATTTAAAAGGTCAAGCACGTTAGTTCCTTTGCCATGCTAAGTTGTTTGTGTTGATTGTTGATTTATAGAATGCTTAAACATAAAATTAATAAAAGAGACAAGCAGTCAGTGTAGAAAAATAATCCAGAAGGTCGTCTCACCTTGTGTTATAAATACTATAGAGCAACAATTACCCTCAAGTTTTTGAATAAATAGGAAGCAATTTAGCGTTACAAATGTGTTACTTGTTTCTCTCATGTTGGATATTCTTCATGCAGTATGCACATTAAGTGACCAGGATATTATTCAGAAATCTATTAATGAATGTTGTCTATAATACATGAAATAAATATACCGAGTCTGTAATTTCCTATGATTTTCAAATATTTCATCAACGATACTTATGAGCGCCACTGTTACTGCACATACAGGCATAACAATTTAGATGGATTGGAACTCAGCAACAAATAGTGCCATGCCATGATCATCTTTATCATGAATAGTAGTGAAAGTTACTAGGGATCAAAAAATTCATAAAATTTATCACTGTAGTCTGCAGATAGTTGACAAGATTCCAATTGATGAATTCAGAGATTAAATATGGCACCACTTAAAATCCAAGGCTCAAATATAAGCATTCCTTCCATATTAAATTAAGCTATTTGACAATTTCTTTGGGAAAGACAACCCAAAAGCTTTAATAATATATTCAAATAGAACAAGCTCTAGGCTATGAAAACATTTATCACAATACTCAAGTTGAAACCCAAAAACCAATTATAATTCTCAATGAATTGCGTGTTTAAAGCAAAAGTCCAGTGATTACCAGATGAACCAGTTTGATAACCAGCAGATGAACGACCCATGTACCGACCATGAGGCCTTTCATCAGCATAACCAGGCCTGCCGCCCATATCACGTTCATATGGATAATCATATCCAAACCTATATCATCAAAAATATTGAACAATGGTGAAAAAGGGTACACACAGATTACGAAAATAAAGAAAGAAGACATGCAAATAGATACCCGGGCCCAACTAAAGTAGCCATAAGTATAACAAAGAAATAGAAAAATCCTATGCACAAGACTAGATTCAAAGAGATAAAAGAACAAATTATAAGAAAACCATAAAATAAAAATACAACCATAGTTCAAAAGTGTAAAAGAAAGAAAGGCGTGGATAGGGTAGATGATACACTTGGCAAGTGTTGGGGCCAAGATATTAAGGCATGCCTATATTGCTCATGGCACTCCATGGTTTGGTTAAGAAAGCTTCACTCAAACTATCGTGTCTCCTTCGCTTGTGGACAACATGATGCTCTCTATAAATGTGTTTTCCCCTATCTACATTAAGACGTAGGCTCATCCTCCAATCAAGTTGTCCTTGCCACTACACTCAGGGCTACATCTTAGGCTCGGCCAAGTACCCTACCTCCATTGAGCGGTGTCTCACCAAGCAAATCTTCCATTCACACTTGACTCTAAGCACCTTGACACAACCACACTAATCTAGGTTGGGAGCAAGGCATAGGAACTTGAGCCCATCAGAGGATCTGTGGCTTAGAAGTTAAGAGTAGAGGATTCATCAAGGTGCCTCATCCCACACTCATCCGAGACAAGAGAGAGAAAGATCTCCACAAGCAAAGACCATGTTTAGCAAGACATGCAACACCTCGTAAGAAATATCCCACCAAACTCCTTTAGATTCGCAATACAGCTGTTGAGACTTAACCATTGCACTCCCATCAGCCCTTTGGTGTAATCATAGGTGCCATTAGTAATTAGAAAACATTAACCAAGAGGGATGAGGCATGTGTCCCAAAGACATTGAGCATGTTGAGTTGTCTCCCATCATTAAACCACCATATAAAAGAAGACCTCCATTCATAACAAGCTATTTGCCACCTATCTCCTCTGAAAAGCCCAAAGCTCTCTTTATTGCCATCCTCTCTTAGTTTAAGACTGGCTTATGTCATGTATTGACTCATTAGGGATGCGTGTTCTACACTAAGCACCTTGCAAGCGCATTAGTTTGTGAGCTGCAAGACAGGTAGGGTAAATCCCTATCGCATCTCCTGGGTTGGTCCTTGGGTGTAATGCACGAGGTACGCAGTACCACTTGTAGAGTCAGCTTCTCAGGGGGATGACAAGCGCCCAGTTTGTGACAAGTGTTATTAGAGCCAGCCTAGGGGCACTGTGATGGGGATGATATGTGGGACTTACACCAAGCACCTTCATTGTGGCGTCTACACCAAGGGTGGTGTCCGCACGAGGCGGGTTCCCATGGGTAGGGGAACGGACAAGCATGGAGGCATGCAGGATAATGTCCCCCTGACGAGGGTGTCAGGAACTGGTAGTGGTAGCATGTCACGTACCGACTTATTAGGGATGTGAGTTCTACACCAAGCACCTTACAAGCATATTAGTTTGTGAGAAACAAGGCAGGCAGGGTAGATTCCTATCGCATTTCCTGGGTTGATCCTTGGACATAATGCACGGGGTACGCAATACCACTGTGGAGCTGGCTTCTCGGGAGGATGACAAACGCCCAGTCCGTTACACTTAGCTTTGACCATCCTTGCCTCTCGTGTCTCTTTTCCATCTTAGTACCTACCATCTTCCCATAAGACCCCACCTTAGCACCTTAGCAACAGGGAAAAATTAAAGAGACATCACTTGTGACTAATGTGACAACTAAGAACAATTCAACTAGCATGATGTAACACGGAACTTAGGGAAGGCACTGGCGGTGTTTGGAAAGAAATTTTTTAGATTTTTTTTTTGTTTTTTTCCACTGAAAGACAAATTAGTTACAAAACCAAAAAAAAAATAAATCCAAACAAAATATCACATCAAACTCCAAAATCATTTCACTTTTTCTTTCACAAACATCACATTCAACCACAAAAACACCCAACTATCTTCCCCAATACAAAAAAAAAAATTTCTCCAATAATATCCTACAACTAAAAAAACCTACAAAAAAACTCACTTCCCAAACACCCACACTGAATGCAATATCTATTAACTTTACTGTTTCAAAAAAGTCAATGAAATTATTAAATCTAACGTGCATCGCCTATTGACATTGTTATCCTAGAAAATAAACAATGCAATTGAAGAGACAAGTATTCTAGTGATATCATTCTTGCCTTCAATTAAAAAAATTCTATTAATGACATGCTTCACCTCTACTAATCACCACTTCAAAGATTCAACTTTGAATTATAGAAGCTTTTGTGCTTCTCATTACAAAACTTGAGGCCGAGTTTTCACCAACATGTGGGAAATAGATGTACTCAAATATAGGAGTTGTTTCTTTGGCACAACAATTGGCTTTCTGGGCTTCAAAATATAGCTTATTTATTTTAATCTGGTATATTTACGTCTTAAAATTTATAGTAATTTTTGTTTTCTATGACTGAGGTAGTATCTATACATTTTGTTTCTAATGGGCATGAGTTTTAATTGGGGTCTAAGTAATTGCTATATTAGGGTTACTCGAGAGTTAAATTACTTGGTTGTACCGTACTTATTAGTACGGAAAGTTTCCTGGGACATCTTCCTTGGAAACCAAGTTTGGTATAACTATTTATATGAACACACACAATCGAGCTTTCTAGTGAAGATTTTCATTAAAATTCCGATTTCAATTCTCTCTTATTCTTCTTTTTCCCTTCATTTGAGAGCCTTGTTTTAGCTCTATAGCTTGAGGTATTCAAGTAGTGTTTCCAAAAAATTGGAGCAATATGTTTCAATATCAAATTTTGCAATTTCCAACCTTGATCTAAATAAGTGGAGTTTGTTTTCAATTGTAGCATTGGATTGGATGTGAAGAAGTATATCATTAGCTCAGCAATAATGATTCCCAAGATACATCAATCTTTCTACACCAACACTTCTCATAAGTTGCGCACCCCAAAATAACAAATAAAATAAAATTACACTTCATCTTGATATTAATATTCTAGCCAAGCTACAGTTAAATGTTATGCGAGATCAACTATAAAAAAATCTTCAGGAGGTGCCCATGAGAAGGAAGGACGATATGGAATAGAAAAGAGGCACTAAGCCATAGGCATAACTAGTTCTATTCAGCACAAGATGGAGCAAATCAAACATCAAGCTTACCAAGAAGAAGCAAGGTTCATGGAACAACCTTGCCAATCTACAAATACTCTTAACACTTCAGTCATTTTTGCTTTTGTTTTTTTTTTTTGTTTTTTGGTAGACTCTGATACTTGAGCTAATAGACTCCTAAGTGCAGTTTCCAACTCAAATTCCACCACAAATCTACCCACAACAAAAACTAATTGAACTTTTGTTCTGAGTCAATATATGACCGTAAACACCTAAATGATGTGTAACCCCAATACAACCTCATTAAGGTTCTAACTTGGATGCACTTTCTTACACATGAGCCATTAGAAATTGATTCAAGTCCCCACCCACTTCCCATATAGAGATATTACTAGCTACAATTTAGCTAACGATCTCCATATATAGTTTAAAAGCACTAAACCCAGCATTCTTGTCCAGCTTATGAACCTCAGTAGGGTAAGAATAACTTCATTATGAAAATATAGAACCAATGGGGAAATTTTACCCTTATCTCATTAGTGATGGCGAACCTCCACAGGTTTGCAGATAAAATTCCACTACACATACATGCCCCATCCAACAAGTCACATTTCTCATTATTGAAACCAAAAAAAAAAAATGCCAACATTTGTTTTTATTCTAGACTAAGAACACTCATTGGATGTCCTTATTATGCTTCTTGTCAGTTGTCACCATTTCCTTAACAAATTCTTAGCATCTGTAGGTCGGATCAATGAGAGAGAGAGAGAGGGGGGGGGGGACTTTTCATTTCCTTTGTATGTTTGCACACTTGCTTCAGGAATTGAACTTCACCATAGCAATGAGTGGTCATGACTCTTAGGTCAAGTTTGGGAAGACTAAATAAGTGCACTTTTTGTCTTTTTAGACTAAAAAGTTGAGGTTAAAAATATGAATGTTTAGGTTAACTTTTTGACTTTTTATGGAAAAATGTGTAATAAAAAATTGTAAAAATTGATTTGTAGGAGAAAATTAGAATTGGGAGTTGTGCAGCCGTAATTGTTGACTTTTGGTGAATAGTGATAACTTTTTAACTTTTTGAGTAACTTTTTAACTTTTTGACTTTTTTGGGTGTTCCCAAACTTGGCCTTAATATGATCAACATCATAAATTCTTCATTTTCTAGTAGGTAATCAACCGTGCTGTGATCTCCATGAGGGCCTCCTCTTGCACTTGGATTTCATTTATGAATGGCACGTGAAATGATAAAAATTGGAGGCTAAGGACTCATATGAAACTATAGATGATTGCATCATAATGATCCTCAGGCACTTAACTACCATACATTTCTTTGAAGCAAGTTCCCATTTTTCCTGTTTTTGTTACTAAGAATAAATAAAAATGTACACTTTAACATGTGCCAAACATAAACAGATGAGAGTAATAGTTCCCAAACATCACTAGAACAATGTCAGCTTAAACTGAATCCATAAACAGTGATACACAACATAGAGTTGCAAAAGTCGGCCTAAGCACTTCTACAACAGCACCAAAGCTGTCAAAGAAATTTATTAACCCAGTACCAACAAACAAAACTCGCATCTTCAAGAATTCAAAATAAAGACACCAAATGCATTCTTCCCAGTCAATAATATGTCTAAAATACTTATCTAATAGCACCAGACCCACCTAGGAACGTCACAATTTCTTTCCACAAGCAGTCAACATATACTTTCTGAGACCAATAAACATTTCTCCAATATCACCAAGACCCAAAACCCTCATGTAAAATCAAGTATACTAGAAGCCTTTTAACTTCCATGTTCATTCCTATAACTCACAGCTAATTTCTGAGTCAAATAACTAACACACAACAATCAATTCAACAATAAACAAATTAAAATTCAACAATCAATTCAAAATTCTAACCTTCTATCACCAGGGCCATAACCACCTCTAGGGCTTCCACGCCTCCCATCGTACCCACCATCATCCCTCCGAGACCGCTTGAACGGCGGAAGTGGAGGTGACCTCCGTGGCGGAGAATGACGGCGGTCGCGATAAGGCGGAGGGGGGCTAGGGCTAGCACGACGCTTGTAATCCCTCTCCCTCGGCGGCGGCGGAGGTGAGGAGCGGTTGCGATCGTAATAATCTCCGCCGCGGCGGTTGGGAGGGCGGTCGAGGTCCCTGTCGTCACGCCTCTCCCTGGAATCCCTGTCTCGACGCCTCGGCAGCGGCGGAGGAGGAGGCGGCGGCGGTGGAGGTGGAGGAGACGATTCGGGGTCGTCGGCGGACTTGTTGTCGTCCTTGCGGTCTCGACGGCGGTCCAGAGAGTCGAGCGGCATGCTGATCACTTCCGCCATGGATGGTGGGGATTTGAGGAAACCCTAAAAATGGATGAGATGTGGAGGAGACGATAGATACTCTCTCAGAACTGATTTCGAGACTTCTTTCTAGGCTTCGAGCATTTTCCCAGGAGAGAGAAAGAGGGTGTAAATGGGTAAATTGTAAATACACCCTCAATTTATAAAGTTTTATTTGTTTGACTCTTCACGTTTTGAAAATTATACCTCACTCCAAATTATTAATAGCCTTACAAATACACCCTTTATGTTGCTCAATTGTTGCTCACATGCTAGTTCTAGTCGGGTGCAGGTTTGTTTTCTCTCGACCCACAGGTCTGCAGGTTGAAAAAAATAGATTCGCATCTGCCGTAACTGTGGTTTGCGGTTTGTGCAGGTAAAACTATTGATGACAGAAGAAATGAACTCATAACCTTTTTTTTTTCTTTTTCATTTTTTCAATTTCTATACCTTTGTCTAATATCCAATCTTCCTATCCATTTTTTTTGTTTTCTCTACAATCAATAGTTCTATGAGAAAATGAGAAAGTAATCAAATCTCTCCTTAGTGTTTTTTTGGGTAGGCTCTACACTCTTTCAATTTCTTTGTAAAACCCTACCTACATTGTTTGTTCTTCAATTTCATTTGCCAATATTTACATTTTGTACATTATAGAAAGAGAGGGACTTTAGAGAAAGAAACAATAGACCATGCCCCCTATATAGGGTCGGCCCTAGGCTAAGGCCATTAAGGGTTGTGCCTAGGCCTTCTAAACTTTGGCCCCAAATTTATTAGTTTTATATTATATTAATAAAAGTTCACAGTCCAATCTTTTTTTATTGTTTAAGGCCTAGTCTAAAAGGCTCTTCAAAAAAATCTTTTGGGGTAAATTAATATATATATATATATATAATCATTGTTAGGCCTAATTAAAAATTTATATAATTAGTCCAGACACATATATATGATATAATGAGTCCAAATAAAGTCTAGTGTCAAGATTTTAATAGAATAAATAATTTTATTTTAATTTTTTGCCATCTCTTTATCATTTTTTAATTGAATGATTTTACTCTAATTTATTTTCTTTCATTTTGTTTGCTCTGATTTTTTTGCCCACTCTCTTTATCATAATTTAATTGAATAATTTTGCCTTAGTTTTTTCTTCCAATTTTTTTCCCAATAATTTGCGTTTTGTTGTCAAATAATTTGTGGGTTATGGTTTGTGTGAATTATGATTAGAATAACATAATCATTTCGTTATCAAATATCAGTGAATTACGTTGTTTGTGTTGATTATTGCTAAACTATAAAACAAAAAGACCTTATTTTATCTTTTTTGAGTCTTTGTAATGATTTTTTCTTATCTTAATATATGAAAATAAATTTTAATGATTATATGTGTAAGGAAACTTTTTGTAGTTACTAAATAATAATAAAAAAATTATTGATAACTTATTATTTTATCCATAATTTTTTTTTTTATAAAAAAATATATGTAGACGGGTCTTCCTTTCAAAACCCACATAAGGCTCCATAAATCTCAAGGCTCTGCCCCTATATAACCATTTTATTTTATAACAACAGAGAACTTTGAATCATATAACAAATTTTTTTTTTTTTTTTTTATATTTTCAATTCAATTTTCTAAAGAACCAAACGGAGGGTGTATTAGCATAAGTTGAGGGTATGAGACGGCTATTGCTCAATTTTGCTACTTAGGGTTTACAAGAAAAAGAGAATTTGATATGATAGTGGAGATTTTTATAAATAAAAAAAATTATAATGTGCAGGAGATTGTGTAAAATTTGCAACTCTCCCGCAACCTGCAAATTAAGTCAAAACTACACTCGTACTCGCCCATATTCAGTCCTCGAAATTGCCCAAAAACTTACGAGTAGGATAGGGTCGGACGATTTGTGCACGTCCGATAACCCTATATCCACTTCTACCTTTCGACACCTACCATGGCACCACCAATTTTCTATATTACTAGTGACCATAACAACCCTTTCCACATCTGACCCTTCTTTGGTTACTTCTTCTCTCTTATCATCACCTTTCTATATTGTTACTCAATCATTACCCAAAAACGACACCTACAATTACACCCATCATTAAAATCACAGTGACATTGTCATAGATACGATCGACTTGTACCATAATTACTACAGTCCCCACCAAATTTTTCTCTTTTCTTCTCATATCCAAATCAAACTCGTCCCATAACATATTTTTTAATACATATCGTTACCTCTTTGTCTTAGATTTCCCTATATATGTTGTTGATCATTCTTACTCCATTTTTCATCCTTGCAACATTCTTACCATTTTCTTGTTCCAAATGTTTATTTTCTCTTCTTAGCTCTTTTATGCTCATCTCTCTCTCAATTACCAACATTTTTTGACTTCATACAACCCTCTATTCACTTCTACTTCCACTTTTTACCTTTGTTGATGCCTTTATCTTCACTATTTTCATGCATGTTAATGTGACTAAGAGAACTTGTTGAGATTAACAAGTGATATATTAATATTTATTTATTTATTCTTATTTCTTTCATGAAAATACTAGTGTCCTATATATTAGCACATAAAAGACTAAAAATGCCATTACTACATTTTTAAATCAAATGTAAAAGCCCTTATATCTTTTGTTTTCAAAATCAAATGCAAAACCCTTTGGTTAGATAGTAAGCTTTGCTATTTCAATTAGCAACATGTCATTATTTACATGCGACTACTATTGCATATCACTGCTACCGTAATCACTTCATTCCACTACTATGGTCTACAGTTGCTTCTTCTATGACTCTATTACCTCATGCCCAAACCAACTTCCTCAACCCCAACGGTTCTATCTCTTTCTTTTACCACGATTTCATCATGCAAAATCTTCTAACTTCTTAATATACAATGTAAGAGTTTGTAATTATCTTGCTTAACAATGATAGGCACAAAGAAGAAGCAATTAATATTGAATATCTTCATAGAAGATGATAATGATTCTTTTGTATCTTTGGAATTGATTTATGTTTGTGTCGTTGAACATTATGATTAACTCTTTTAATCATTAATGATTCTTATTGGTATTGGTATTTTTTTATCGGTCATGGGTGTAAGTTTTCTGAATGAAACTGTATATTAGTCTTAATTAATAAAACAAAGAATACATCACTTATATACAACTCTAATTTTTAAGCCTAAAAGAATACAACTCTAACTCCTAAGACTAAAAGGAAACCGAATATATCATAGAAATTGAATAGAACTAGAACTCATATTCTCACACCCCCGTTCAAACTCAAGGTGTGTTAGTAGAAAATACTGAGAGTTTGTCAAGAAGAAATCGAAACCAAGCAGTGGTGTGAGTCTTGGTGAAGAAGTCAAAAAGTTAGACAGTCGAAGAGACAAACGAAAGTGAGATAGAGCCATACTGCAGATGCTGACAGACGAAGTGACAATCAATCTCAATGTACTTTGTCTGTTCGTGAAAGACAGTGTTATGAGCAATCTGAATAGCATTTCGGTTATTACAATAGAGAGAGGTTGAAGAAGACTAGGGGACACCCAAGTCAGATAAGAGACTACGAAGCCAAATAATTTCAACAGTAGCATGAGCCATAGCACGATACTCAGTTTCGGCTGTAGAACGGAACACAACAGTTTGTTTCTTATTTTTTCAAGAAATTAGGGAATCGCCAAGAAACGTACAGAAACCAGAAGTGGATTTGCGATCATTAACATTACTAGCCCAATCAGTATCTGCATAGGCCATCAAGTCTAAGGAAGAAGTAGAAGATAAGAGCAAGCCCTGAAAGATAGTATTGCGAAGATAGCGAAGAATCCGAATCAAAGTAGCCCAATGTGTAGGGCGAGGAGCAGAAACAAACTGACTAACCACATAGACAACATAGGCAAGATCAGGGTGAGTAACTGTCAGATAGACTAAGCAATCCGCAAGCTCACGATATAGCGTAGAATCGTCTAATGAGGAGGTGGAGTTGATAATAAAGGAGGCTTAGCAAGAGCTAAGAAGACAGAGGGAGGCATAGTCTGACTAGTCGTCTTAAGATGGGTTTCCTCAGAGAGAAGCTTACGAACAATAGCATCTATAGATGGAAGATGAGACTGGTGAAGGATGCCACCTCGGATAGCCTCATACTGAGAGGAGAGATCCATTAAGAACTGCACCAAATGACTTTGCTCCTGAAACTCAATATAAGCGTCTAGTATCTTGAGACTAGGTGCTTCCATAAGAGCTAATTGATTCCAGAGGCCTGTCATCTCAATATAGAAGTCTTGAATAGTCTGATCCCGCTGACGAGCACTCTGAATAGTTGTGTTCAACTCATACTGCTTGGCAAAGTTGGACTACTGATAAACACCTAGTGAATAATCTCACACCTTTTTGGCAGTACTGTACTTGGAAAACATCATTCCAATACAGTCATCTACAAAATTATGAAACCAAGTTAGAACTTGGGCATTATCACAATCCCAAGTATCACAGGAAGTTAGATATCCTTTCGCCTTCGGGTCTAATGGACGAGGAACAGAACCAGAAACATAGTTCTATTTTTTCTGACCAAGAAGAAAATTCTTCATAACACTGGCCCAATAGACATAATTGCCACCAGTGAGTTTGCATTTGATGGCTTGAATTTTAGTGTCCAACATTATAATAAAACACAGGTATGGGTCAAAGTATAAATAAAACAAATTAAGGCTTCAAGTATAAATACCTAGAACCAGTAGAATAGAAGAGTAGATCTGAAAAAATCACAGAATCCAGAGAAGATGAGTGATAGGGAGAGAGAGGCGATCTCACGAAGCGAAGCTGAGCTAAAGAGAGGCTTTGCGAAAATGACACCACCGAGAGAGAGAGAGCAGACCTTCGCGAGAGAGACAGAGAACTAAGTCGAAGACAACCAGAGAACAAAGCAGAGCGAGAGTGAGCCCTTCTTGGCTGGCAAGCATGATTAGACCTAGATGAGAGATCTATGACTTCAGACCAAAAAACCAGAGAGCCTTTACGACTTTAGACCAGAGAAAGAAGACGACTCAAAGCACCAAGTCGACGCACTGAGAGTATTGCGATGACTAGCAAACATGACTTCGACTAGCGATCGCGATTCCGAATTAGGAA